ATAATAATCTATTTTGGGTTCAAGGAGGTTTAGAAGCTGCTGAAGATGAGGCATGTCTTCTAATTTCATTTTCTCATGGAATTTATATTTTGATAAACTTTTACCAAATGTGGAAAAAGAAAATTGGCAATTTGGCATATGTTGTGAGCTCATTCCTCTTTGACCCTTTGATACTGTGGAGCAGGATTTCATAATAGATGGCTCAGTGCCTCTCAAGTTTGCTGGAATTGGTGGCGTTTCAGAATTCCTTGGGTAACTATCTCAACTCACATTTTTCAATCATTTGACTGCATGCTTTAGATTAACTCTATTATATTAAAATTAACATAAGTAATTCTACAGTCATGCTGTCTGCCAGGTTTTTACTCTGAGTTCCTGCCACATTAGATTGATTGGAAACACTCTGAGTTCTTATACGAAAATTTGATTCTAATAGTCCAACCTTTTCGCTGTTCTGCTTATAAAAGTCCACCTATCGCTTTCTTGAGAATAATCCAACTTTTCAGAAGTCATGTAACATGCCATTTCGTGAGTGATAATATGCGGACTGATATCAGAAGCAGCAAATATGAGCTGGATTATTCTCATGAAATTGAAGGGTGCGACTGTTATAAGAATGGTAGAAAAAAGTTAGATGATTAGAATCAAAATTTCCATTCTCATATACGACAAGATGTTAATGGCTAGTTGTACATGTTAAAATGACTATATAGTTTGCATTTTTGCACCATTCAAATAAGATTTTATGTGAGGGTTTAAAGATTTGGGACATTCTTTATGACTCCATTTCCAGTTGGACTGACCAGCAAAGAGCAGCTGCGGCCAAGGAAGGGTGGGGGTATAGATTAGTGTTTTCTGCACGCCTGGTAATTTATCTCTTATAGGCCTTTCAGTTATAAATCACTGAATCTTATATCTCAATCTTGACATTATTAACAAATTTGAAATGTGTTGAGTATAGGTTGGAGTCTTTCTTGTTGCGGATGCATTATATATTGGTGGTCAGCAGTTTTGGCGGTATCTTGAGGAGATCATGTCACATTAGAAGTTATTTTTTAATTCCAACGTTGAGATAATGTGTGCCTTTGTGACTCCATGTGTGTAATCTAACTAGCCATGTATCCATGTATGATAAGATTAATTCTGAGTGCTGTTTATATCGTTTCAGTCTTTCAGAAGCCACTCTTATAATTGTTTACTTGAGCTTAACAATCCGTGATTTCCAAATAAACGTTAAAAGTATCTCTAGAGATCATATTAAAAAATGGGAAAAGGGACAAAACCACCCCTGAAGTAGTCACCAAAGGGCATATATGCCCTTCAACTTCTTTTTTGTGCAAAAATCTTTAAAATTCATGAAAAGAGTGTAATAACACCCTTCTTTTCAACGGAGTTAGTTAACATGCTTTCCTTTAAAGTGTAAACGGCATCTACTTTGTATATTTAATTGTACTCCTTATTTATTAACTAGGATGTTTTTAATTTGCTGGTTTGGTCTGGTCTGGTAAAGTCTAGTTTCTTTATATTTTTATAATTATCCAAGCCTGGTCTGGTCTGGACAGGTTTGGTCTAGTCTGGTTTGGGACAAATTACAGTCCAAGTAAAAACATCCTAGTCTTGTAGATTAGTTGAAATATACTCCGTATAAAATACAAATAAAGTAATTATGAGCTCATTTGGTAATTTTTTTTTACCTTATTAGCCTTATTAGCCAACTTTTAACCATACACGTAACATTTGATTTAGTGTGCTGAACTGTGTAATAATACGAAAAAATAAGATTTGGTTACTTTTATGACTGTATTGGCTGAAGTTACTGTAGATGATCATTTTAGCAATCTTTATATAATTTTTTCTTTATTTTATTAAAAAGATATATTTTAAATATAATTTTTTAAAATCACCAGAATCAGGCAATGCAACCACTTCTGACAGAATTTTATAAATTTCAGCAGAATCAGCATAATCGTAGCCGAATTCTTTTAAATATTCAATGATTAGTTCTTAGTGACTCATACTCCAGCTGAATTGTATAATAATCAAAATAAGTGAGTGTAGAGTTTTTTCTAATGAAATTGACTTGGACTTTTTAAAGCCAACTATTTTAACCTTTTCATCTAACTTCTTATTTATATTACTACGAGGCCGTTTGATAGTAGGGCTGGACTCGGTTCGGGCCGGGCCCGGTTCGGGCCTTGAACCGGCCGGGCCTCGGTTCACCAATAGGAGGGCCCGGGCCCGAACCGGCGGTGACCGGTTCCGGGCCGGTTCCGGGCCTCGGTTCAAATTGATAGTACTGGTTTTCGGCTTATTGAGCTTATCAGTCAATTTTTTTACCAAACACATAATTTTGGCTTTCGCGCGTTGAATTGTGTAATAATAAGAAAAAGTAAGGTTGGAGTTACTTTTCTAGCTGTAATGACTAAAGTTACTGTAGATGACCATTTCAACTGTTTTACATATTATTTTTTCTGTTTTATTAATAAAATATACTTTAAAACTATTTTTTTCTTAAATCAGCAAAATCAGCCAACGCAACCACTTCAGCCAGAATTTCATAAATTTCAGTAGAATCAACTAGGGCTGCACATCGGATGGGTTAGGTCGGGTTTGCTATATTTTTTGGGCCTACCCAATTTGTTCAAGTTTGCTATTAACTAACCCGCGGTATGCATCTTTATGTGGGAAATTAATATAACCAATTTAAAACTCGATTAACTTGTCTCCAAAACACACAAACAAATATAAGTACTCGTATCTTCATAAGCAAAAACATTAGATAATAGTATTAAAACATCCTTCTATCAAGAAAGTTCATTTAGAAGGAAACGTAAATATATAATAATCACATAGTCAAAATGGTAAATGTTTAATTATAATTCTAATATCATAATGTCCTAGATAAAGCACATTGGTCTTAAATTGAAATTATCCAAGAAAACATTGTAGCATAATAATAGTAAAATGAACTTCGATCGGGTCAGGTACTATCAGGTTTGAGATTTTAATTCCGCAACCCTACCCATTAGGTGATAGTTCAAACATATTTAACTCATGAATATTTTTTAAAATCAAATACCCAATTAAATAGGGTCGGGTAGGGTTGGGTGTTGAATTGATAAAATAAGAATAAAGCAAAACAACAGTGATTTAGAATCATACAAACTGTACAAGGCAAAGGGAATATTTTTTTCCCATAATCGTTATTTCATTACTTAGACGCTTTTTATGATTTACTTATATTTTTAGTCGTTTTATTTCTATTTTATATATTCCAGCTAATTTTCAAAATTGGTTTAATAAATAAAATTAAAATAGACTTCAAAGGAGGAACATTAAGTCATTAACCGTTGTCAAATCTCTTAAATGAGTTCATGGTTAAATAAAGGGGTTGTTGCCTTGCTTTCAACTAATTTACAAAATTATTTTATTTTTGAAAAGCACAAAATTAGTTAATAAATACATAGTACAATTAGAATATATATTCCGTTTAAAGTTTAAAGGAGTCCCTGACTCCATGTTAACTTTTGCTAACTCCGTTAAAAGCAGGGGGTGATTGCCTCTTTTGATGGGTTTCAAAGATTTTTGCACAAAAAAAGAGTTTAAGGACTTAGATGCCCTTTGGTGACAACTTTGAGGGTGTTTTTGCCCCTTTCCCTTAAAAAAATCTAAAAGGAGAAATAATGACAAAAACAATATCATAGATTTCAATTCGGAAAAAATATGATCATATTTTCGTTTGGACACAAAAGAGACCAAATAAAAGAGGATCAAAATGTCCTCCATAAAAATACTAACCAAAACCCTAACCTTACAACACGTGCATCCATGTGTTCACAACGAAGAATCTAATCGTTTGTCTCGCTGTCTATGTGACTTTGCCGTCCCCTTACATTGACCTACACCTACCCCACACCAATCTTCTTCTTCATTATCTTTCCATTCATGGGGAGGTAAACGAGAATTGTCATCTACCACATATGTCGTTGTCCACGACGGAGCAATGACCTGGTCTGAGGGGTGATGTCGAATGCTAGGGGCGATTTTCACAATTGCGGTGAGGCTTTCAGGTCAGGTTGACTGACAACAATGAGTGACAGCAATGATAGGCGACAATGACAATGATCAATAATGGTTGTGGCAATAATAGGGGTAGTAGGGACGTGATGGGGGTGGTTGAGCAATGACATATTTGGGTTCAAAGGAGGTCAATGGCCAAAGTGGCGGGATAGCAAAAACTTTGTAAATGAAAATTAAATAAAATTTTTTTATAACTGTATAAAAATTGATAATTGAAATAGAATAAACTAAGGGGACATTTTTTATTTTGAACCTAAAAGCATCATAAGAAGCAGGTCATAAAACTAAATGAGAAAAGTTTTTTTATATGAATAAAAGTAGGTGTAGTGAAATTGACATTAGAAGATTTGTAGATTTCGTGCATGGCAATTTTTATGTTCATGATTACATAGAAATTGAGAAAAACAGAATACAAGAGTGATTTTAATAGGTAAAATACAAAATAAATTTTAAGGAAAATGTTTAGCTTTTAAAAGTCGGGTAGAAGTAAAAAACTTAGTGATTCATTTGGAGATGAAGGATTGAAATATTAAATAGGTAATAAATATATAAATTATGTATTTCATATGTATATGACTTGAAAATAAATTTAAATGATTCATAAAGAAATGAAACTTCACTATTCATAGGTAAGAAAAAGATTTCGTTTCACTTATGTTAGTTGTGTGCCTTCAACTAAAAAGTAAAAACCTATAATTCACACAACAAAGAAATGAAGCCAAAATAAAATTCTTACCGTGTATCGCTAGGAACAAAAATTATGAAATTTGTACAACTTTTGTCATATCCTTCCCCTTAGTAAAATTTGTACAACTTATGAAATGAAATTATTCTTTTCTTTTTTGGGTACAAATCCCTCCCCTTATTATTCTAATGACGCGTTTATTTACGCAGGCCTATTCAAATCTCCAATTGCCCAAAACCATTTTTAAGTGAAACCCTTGATAAATCTCATAGATCTCCACCGATTCGACATGGCGGCATCATCTTCCTCCCTCTCGGACTCTTCCTCGTCCTCATCCCGCCGTCGCAAACGGCGCCTCCGCCGTCACAGGGACCGTGACATGCCAAATGTCCGGAAGGAAAAACGCCCCCACATCAAACGACGTCATGACCGCCCTCCCTCGTCCTCCGACAGAGGCCGCTGCTCATCTTATTCGTCTTCTGATTATTGCAGGTAATTTTGTATTTAGTTTCCTGCCTCTGATCTGATCTTAGGTTGAGCTGAATTTTAAATTATTCAGTAATTTCGTTAGTGTGTCGTATAAGTTATGTGCTGCAGTCAATTAACTAGTATCAATACTGACGGTGTTGTACAGCCAGTGATGTCAGATTGCAACTTTTTTTCTTACTGTTATCTGGGCGACTTATTGCATAAGTGATAAGTGCATAACTTTGATATGTGGGCATTAAAGACTCCGAACATTCAAGGGGACCAAAAACTAATTTGTAGCCAACTATGACACATAAATACAATTACTATGTATATTCTAATACTGCTCAACATTATCTTCATGAGTCATGACATTCTCATTATCTGATAATGTAAAGTTATTGTATTTTTATCTCGTTAAGCATACTATCAGATTTGTCTTCTCAGTGTATCATCCAATAACAGCTGTAGGAATTATCCCCACTCATTCATCATTCTACTAGATATTCACTGAATATTGAACCTCTGCAACCTTTGTCGCACATGGTTTCATAGCTACTGAACTTCATTATGAAAACTTTAACAATTAGTTGAAAGTTCAATTGACAGAAAAATAAAAATCTCTGGCATTCATGTGGCGTTTCAATAGGGAAAATGAACTGATGAAACCAATTATTTGTTCATAATTGAATTTGGGTAGTGTGTGATTCAATGACACTAGAACAATGAGTAGATCTTATGTAGTTATGTAGCAACTCAACTAAACCCTTCACGCTGCTTATTGACTTCTGGTCTGTCTCTGATTTATGGGACTTTTGTATAGTCATTCCTCTGTGCTAAAAATATGAATGGTCTATTAGAAAAATAGTACAGGTTGATGAAAACATGAAGGGGTGTATTTTGATTTTCATAAAATCCTTTTTTCTGAATACAAATTATGGTAATTTAAATTCAAACCTGATGTAAACAAATTTGTGTGCATTTCATTGTCTGCACTCTGCAGCTCTTCAGACAGTGATCATGAATCACCGGAGCATCATAAAAAGCGCAAACACAAAGATACATCTAGCAAGGTTGTGTATTGACATTTGGTAACTTTGAGAACACACTATGCTTGTTAGGTGCTTCACTGATTGATGACATTTGGTATCTTTTTCAGAAAAAGGACAAGAAAAAAGGAAAAAGACACAAGTCTAAACATCAAAAGCATAATACCAAGGAGGTAGGCCATCCGTGTGTTCCGTTATGATCCCAACATGGAATCATATGTATTTCTTGTCTTCTATTTACTATCTTACATTCACAGTATATATGTTCACTTCTCTAGTTACCCAAGGAGGGTTTGTAGGTAATAGCGGTAGTTTATGGCATTGAGCTATTCTTCATGATATCATATGGCATTTTTTTAAGCAGAAATTTACTCCCTCTGTCCCTAAAAGAAGTTCCATTTCGCTTATCGAGGGTCAACTTAAATCACTCTTAAACTCTTACTTTTTATATCAAAATTTTATAAAAGTTGAATTATTTTTTGCAGGCTTTGTAGCGGGTTTAATGCAGCTTCTGAATATGTATTTTATTTACTAAAAATAATCCGAGTTTTCACAGGGATCATTTCACTTTATCGTCGGTCAACCTTCGTAATCTGCAATTGGAACAACATTTAGGGACGGAGGGAGTATTAAAATTCAATTAAGAAGAGTACAAAATGATGGTGAACGAAAGCTAGTGAAACAAATAAATCAAGTGAAACAAAACCGCTAATGAGTGAATAATCCAAAAAGGCCCCGCAAATCCATATGGCATATATATATATATATATATATATATATATATATATATATATATATATGTGTGTGTGTGTGTGTGTGTGTGTGTGTGTGTGTGTGTGGGGGGGTGATAGAAAGTGTGTGAGAGATATAAAGTGTGTCTGTCTTTGCACTTTAATGATTTGTAGTGGCATTACATCTTTCTCTTGAACTATGAGATACTTATGGTACTTTTATACCTTTTCATTATATGGCTCTTTGAAATTGGAGCTGGGGTTTGGCATGACAACTGGTGCTTGATTGGCTCGCCATATCTTTGATTTTGGCTCGTGGTTTATGACGTCACTGTGAGTTGCTTATAGAAACAGGAGAGATGTAGTAGCCCTGTACAACTGTCCAAGGTTTGTGCGTACAAAATTTCTGTAACGGAATTCCTTCTTTTAATTTCCTGCCCAGTTTTGATTGACTTCTCTAATGCATTTATCCAGTTTTTGGGCCGAGACAAGGATGATGGTGTCCGTCGCAGTGCTGTCTCTGGCAAGAAGGTAAGCTATTTGGTGGTCTTAGTTTATTTTACTCATTATATTGTTAACTAATTTGAGACAGTCAATTGACACTAAATTTCATTTCACCAACGCCAGTTTGAGTGATGAGTAAGTTGGCGGTTAGAACTTAGAAGTGTTCATGTTTCAGTCTGGACTAGGGGGTGTAAACGAGCCGAGCCAAGCCCGAACATACATAGGCTCGAGCTCGAGCTCGAAAATATTTTACATGCTCGAGTTCGGCTCGAGCTCGAACGAGCTCAAATATTAATGCTCGAGTTCGGCTCGGTATATTTACCTATGCTCGAAATTAGCTCGAGTTCGGCTCGAAGCTACTCATCTAGGCTTCTAGCCAAAGGTTGCTTTGCTGCCTCCCGTAACTGATTAAGAGGAGATGGTCTTATTTATTGAGTCATGGTAAAGCTAGAGTCTTCTAAGTAATCGGTGTGGGATAAATGGGCTTCGATCCTGCATTGCAAATTTAACACCTGGGAGAACTCCACTCAACTAAAGATCCATATGATGATGACTTAGAACCTAAACATTGATTATACTTTATTTCATATGAGTTCTCGACTAACACTAACAATTCTTACGGTGTTATTTTATAATAATAATAATAATAATAATCACAATAATAATAAAATATATATACATATACATAAAAATTATATTATATATAAATACCAAAGCTCGCGAGCCGGCTCACGAGCCTCGAGCCTAAAATAAATAGGCTTGAATTAGGCTCGTTAAACACTCGAGCCGAGCCGAACTCGAGTCGAGCTTGAATATGACCGAACTCGAGTCGAGTTTTTACCGAGCGAGTCGCGAGCGGCTCGCGAACGGCTTGGCTCGTTTACACCCCTAGTCTGGACCTAAAAAATGGACTGGACTGTTGGAGTGTTGGGTCCTGGCTGTGTCAGGACTGAAAAGATTTAGGTATGGTCCTCAGTCCAGATTTTTAGATTTGGTCAGGTCTGGAGGGCCCGAGACCGGATATTTTCTGTCTTGTCCTATTAGATCTTAGGCAATGTTTTTTTACACATTTTTTTCTTAGCATTAATATTTTCTTAAATTTAATATAATCTTAAATTTTATATTATGGTACACGATTTCGCTCCAGTCTGGGATTCTATCAACTGGATACTGTTTTGGTTTGGTCTTTGGTCCAAGATTTTTGAGTTTTAGTGTGTCGTCCACTCTGGTTTAGTTGGGGTCTTGGGCTAATGAAGCCCTTACTGTTGGTGATGACTGATAATGATTCACATGGTCAATGGTATTCTTAAAAATTTAAAACTTTGTCCTTGACTAGAGAAAATGGGAAATTGTCAATATCATGCTTTTCAACTTTCAGATTCTCTTGAAGCTTGACAAAACAAAGGAGGACAAGGAAGCAGAGAACAAAAGGAACGAATTGCTCAGGTTCTTGAATGCAAGTTATGACTGATTATGTGGAGAATACAAGCCCTTCCGGTTTCATTTTGTGGGTGGAAGTGGACTTGCCTGAAGCCTCGGGTGATTATCACTGTCCTTGTGTGTTCAACTCATTTTCATAGTATTGCATGGTGAAGTTAAAGGGTGCTGTGATGTGCGGCCTTGACATTCCCCCAGTGAAGGTTTCACTGTCTGTTCTACTCTGATTCCTGAAATGTGGCAACCTTTGGTACTTTATTATTAGGCAGATTTTATTTTGGGGTTGTGCCCTATATCTTGTTTTTCTTTCCCTTTAGATTTTTTTTATGAAAAGAATACTTTTCTTCTCTTAACATATTTTATTTTTATTTCTGCAACATACAAGTAAACCTTATGAAAAGGCTAATATCTATTTTGCATTGAAATTGACAGTGTCCTTTGCATTTCAAAATGTTATGTTATTATTAAGAAAGTTGTGTAACTTCAGAGAAAATTGTGTTATTATTAAGAAAATGGATTTATGTGATTGATAATATGAATGATTTAAAATAGTTGTTCATATTGAGTAAATCCAACAACCTTTTTTCGGTGTTCAGCTCTTTCTAGATCATATGTTGGGTAGTTTCATCATACTTTTAAGCTTCATCAAAACATGAAGTCAAACATTACGATTCATGCTTCCAGAGTCCAGTTGCTTCGTACGGAGTAATATTTAATTGGTCATATTTTAAAAGTGTGAGATGGACTATGTATTCTTCACATAAACATTGTTCCTACACCTAACTGACCTAAGACAGCGTTATTGTGTAAGCTCAAGTTTGTGATTGGAAACAATGTACTATATTACTCGGTGTTAGAAACAAGTTTTTCTAAAATGAAACCAGGCAGTAAATTATTTTTTCTGGCTCCAATATACGAGTAAATTTTTAGAAATTTATAGCTATGAAACCATGTGGGTGATTATAAGAGTGGACCGGCGGAGGGTCATACTTGCTTCGAAAGTAAAATACAAAAACATAATATTAACATCATTTGAACTACAAGGCATAAAGGAGTGAAAAGACCGAGTTCACATAGAAATACTAGAATTTAATGCCCCCAATTATCACACTGCATGTGATAACTGCATCTGTAACAAAAAAAATAGAAACAAATAAACAAAAAATGAGGTTAAGAGGCTCAATGTATATGATTTTTTTAAGATGCTCCTTATGGAGCTAAAAGAGGCCAAAATCAATAAATGAAGTAAAATAGCATCAATTGTGGGTGTAGTTTACTCGGAAACCGAATTAAGAAATATGCAAAAAATGAAGCATTTTAGGAGCGTTTACTTACATTTCAATTGCAGTGGCTGCAGATTTGAGCTAAGGAGACAGCAATTTTAGCACCAATAAGTGCATTGTTTTTCACAAGTGCAATATCTGGAGCCCAGTATAAGGAAATTTCATAGACTGAACTGACGCATATCTATTTAATAAAAGGCATGAAGTGTACAAGCTCCAAGAAACTTTAGCCACACTACCACGTTATTCACATAGGAATGTAAAGGGGAAAAGAAAACAAAAAGCCCCTTGAGCCACTGGTGAAGGATACTAGAAGCTAGAGAAGCTCCTCCAGTTAGTTCATTTACTCTAGCAAGCAAGAATGGAGTTTGAGCATTTCCAGTTATGTTCTTTTCCCTGTCGGTGTCATATTAAGATGTGAACATACACCTATATATTATAAGATGACATCGATAAAAGTATCCCCACTTTGATACTTACTGAGCTTCTAGAAGAGCTCTTTGCACTGCTGATTCAATGAAACTTCCTGAAGCAGAATGTTGTTTCGGGATAGGGGCTGCTATTAAGATCCCAGTTTGAAGCCCGAGTTTAGTGTTGGCATCTGCAAGCAGATTATGTAAAACAAATTAATGAAGTACGGGTAACCAATCACACATTTAACCAAGTAAAGAGGACAAATCTGTAAATAAAGAGTACAATCTTATTATCTGACCTTCCATAGATCATGACACCAATATATAGAGAGATAAAGAGCACATCAAAAGACAAAGGCACATAAGGAATCAAAGGTTATATAGGGCATATATGAAGAGTTAAGCACAAGTTGAAGCTCAGCTCTGTCTCAGGGCTGGGGCGGTTATATGATAACTTCATGAGTTTCGAACTTGTTACACTACACCATATTATTAATCTTCTAAGAGATTTAGCAAGCACATCCACTAACTGGTAGTTTTAATTAACAAACTTAATGATGATGTATCTAGACTTGATCTTCTTGTCATTTCGTGGGCGAATTAACAGTCCACCTCTATATGTTTGGATCTTTCATGAAACTCTGGACCAACTGCAAATGTAGGGCAGCTTGATTGTCAAATATCAACTTCACAAGTCGAGGTCCCACACACCTGTGTGTCTCCTTTGGCAACAAATCTGAATTTTAGCGTGACTACCTGTCCATGAGGACCAATACGATATTATATAACCATCAATACCGCACAACAGATTATTTGGGGGGTAGACACATAAGTTCCCAGGTCAGCAGGTCCCATATGAATGAAGAGCTTCAATTTCATCAGCCATGTCCATTCTTCAACCTGGATGAAAGAATACTTGCCTAACACTTTTGGGGACAGAAATAGAAGAAGAAAAAAGTAATGTAGGCAGTGATAAACACAATCGATTATATGAGAGGAAGTTATCGATAGAGTAAGAATTGTGAGTGGGCCTTGTACCTATTCTGCTGGCAATGGGATGAGTAATAGTTTTATATTAGACCGAACCTGGGGGCAAGGATGTCACTAGAATACATGAATTTCACCATCTTCTTGGGTTAAAATCTCAGTGCTGATGCGTATAGGGGACCTGCAACACTGGGAGGTTCTCTGAAATTCCTTGAGGAACTGTTTTTTTAAGCATATTGGGAAAGCATTGGCTCAGACGTACTAAGGACAGACATTATGGAAGAATAGGTTCTAGGTCAGGAAACCTTTTTTTAAAGGAAGTTTTATTAATGAGAAATCATGAGAAAACAAGAAAGATAAGAGAAGAAAATAAAGTGGAATACAAGAAAAATAAGTACAAGAAATACTAGCAAAACCAACCCAAAAAGCATCAAAAATATGAAGAGGCATAGTCATCGCGAGCAAGGACAGTAGCACTGAAAACCCCTTTGGAGAAGAGAGTACAGCATGAACACGCACTTGTTATTGTTGTAGCAGTAGAGATAGTATTGGTGTTGGGCACATGATATAATCCTAAGTGGCCCACATCTTGCATCAATCGTCTTTTTGAACTGTCCGTCATGTACAATCACACACTTAATGGAGAATGCAAAATTATAATCTAGACAACTGTTAAGTTTATTGATAGATACCCCAAGAATCCAGACAATTTACAGAAAGAAAATCAAGAATTCAAACTGAATTTTATTGATGAAGAAGAACAAGAACAGTCGTAACAAGAAACTGGCCGAAGCCCCCAATGAGCCGAAGCCCCCCAAAAGAAAGAGATTAGCTCTCGAATCTTCCTAAGTCCCAAGACCGAATGTCTAAAACAGCCTACCCGACTACTCCCCAGTCTAGTCTATTTATACTAACTATTACACTTATTATTATTCTTGGTTTATTAGGCCCAATTCTTAACAGTCCATTAGGCCCAATCTAATAGCTACTAGTCTATTTAATAGTCAATAGGTGGGTCCCTATCAATACTCCCACCCTAAACAACCACCTTGTCCTCAAGGTGGGCGATAGGAAACCGCTATGATCTTCAGCTTCCTCTTCTTCTTTGCGCCTCTTCCTTCCCAGTACTTGACTGGTTATTGGATTAGTGAATTCAGTACAAGATTTATTATCACAGAACTTCCCACAGCAGAATAATTTTGTAGTGCAGTTTCCTTCTGTTCAGTCACCTTCCCGCACTCCATATCAAAAAATATTTCTTCACCTTTTTGCAGCCCCTCATGCTTCCCATGTTCTGAAACTAATACTGTACTAAATGGAAACTCCTTTATGCAGCTTTCAACCTCTCCCCCTTTTTCATCCTTGCCTACCTTATTTGAGAAAGAAAACCTTAAAGGTTTTGGCAGGTAAGTAAGGATACCCCTTATTCCAGTTGCATTTCTCCTAACCAAGGAACATGAAGGATTATTTCCCAAGTAAGGCTTCCAAAATTGGCGTCCTAGCAGGTAAGCAGATTCTTCCCCGGAAGAAAAAATTGCTATTTTCAAGCCTTGTTTCACTTTCACCTGTTCCTTAGTTTCAATATCTTGTTCCACATAACTTCCTGCTGTTTTCTCATTGATATAACTTGTAGTTCTGAGCACTCCTGTCACATAATCCACCCCTAAGTTGTCAGGTGAATCACAACTAATTGGTCCCTTCCCACTGAGATGTACAATAGCAGAAGAAACAACTGGAGCATATTCTTGATGATCCTTCGAATTATACGGAGCTGGAAGTCCCTCTTCAACCTGGGTTTTAAAGATTGTTATAAACATACTAGAAGAGTACATCTCAAAAGTCAATTCTTGATTGTACACTGCTGTTTCAGCCTCTTTATCATCCATAACCAGTCTTCCTCCACTCATAACATTCCTCCCAGTTGGTGAAATTCCAGGCGAAATCAATGCCCCAATTTGAAAATTAGCATGTGATTTCCCAGAAAGATGATAAACACGATCCTCAAGAAGAACTGGACCATACCTCTTTTGTTCCAGGGAATTTAAATCCACCTTGTTCGCAACCTGTCTTTTCTCTTCGATTTCTTCCTTGTCATTCATTTTCTGGAATACATATTTATTTCTCTCCACCTCAATCTCCTTTATTGACTGAAAAAAACCTTGCGCAGGTTCAGAAATAGCTTGTGACCCAACTGGCGAATCCGAAGATTCTTTTTCTGATCGTGATGCCTCCTTAGGCAAGTTGATCGAGGATAGGGATGTGCGCGTATACAGACTATCTGTTTCTAATCGCTGCAATCTGCGAGTCGAAGTTCGCGACTCAGTCTTCCGATGGTTAAGAGACTGCGACGACTTTAGTGTGTCAAATACTCGAAGGGGCCTAGACTTCCTCGATCGTTCTCCACTCCCTCTGCGAAGCTTATGCTCCTCCGATCTCTCTGAACTATCTGAGTGTCGATGATGAGAGTTGCGATGCATAGGAGAGTAGTCAAAATTCTCTTCTGATTTCTTTGGGTTAGATGACCTTCGCGAATGATGATGTGAAGTATGATGAGAAGAGCTATGCGAAGAGCGATGGGAGGAGTTATGCTCAGATCGATGGGAAGAGCTTGGCGAAGAATGATGCGAAAAATTTTGTGCCTGGTGAGAAACTGTACGCGATTCTGACAAATGAGAAGAAGTTCGCGATTTGGACTGCGATGAGGAATTCTGGGTATGGTGAGAATTCTTTGGCGACTCTGTCTGCGACCTTCGCGACTCCTCTTTCTGCGATTGCTTCTGCGACTTTGTCCTCGATCTTCCTTGCGAGTG